CCTCGACCTTGCGGCCGAGACTCCTCCCCGATCGCGCAGTCAATGACTGCGCGGTTCCCTCGCGGTTGCGGCACGGGGCGATACCGACCCCATGCCGCGCCCTCCCAAAAGTTTGAGGGGCAGAGCCATCGCCCCCCGCTCCCCTGGTGAGCGCATTTCCCTGTTAAAGTCCGAATGACTATAACTATATTATATTAAATATAGTTTTAATAATAAATTAGTAAGTCGGCTATTATACAATCATTTGAGAAACGTTCTTACGCTCTCGCGAAGCGCTTATCGCGAAAAGACGCAAACGCAATAAAATATAAGCGTTACACCGAAACCGCGGATCGCAAGCAAAGAATCAACTTTTTTTTTTTTTTTTTTTTTGACGCAGTGGGAATCCTCATGGATACTACCGCTCTCCGGGAAGAGAGCGGATGGTTATGTGGGACTTCTTGTTCCCCTTGGCCGATCCACGAATGGATCGGTCAGGGGCCCAAGACATACCTCACTAAACCCACTGCGGATACCTTCACGGGCGTTAATGGGGGACGGCCAGGATGCTGGTTTCCCATGCCGACTAGCCGCCCCCCCGCCTAATCCTTTCTTGGGAGGGTGCCGCTGAGGGCGACACTCCCCCCCCCCCGCGAATTGCATTGTGCGGGGGTCCTCGCGGTTGCGACGCAGGGCGATATCGACCCCACGTTGCGCCCTCCCAAAGAGTTTGGGGGGCGGGGTTGCGGCTCGAGTATCCCGCTCGAGCCGCCACCCCCCGCCTCCGAAGCGGTGCTCCCTCCCCCTCCCGAAGGGAATGGGGATTTGGCATTCGCCCCGGAGACCCTCTCCAGAGGGTTCCTCTCAGAAGAAGAGGAACCCCCTCCGTGGACGGCGTTGCCCTCCCACCGGTGCCCTGTGGCTCCCGGTGAGAGGGCCCCGTGCGTCACGTCTCCGTCATAGAGGGGGGCCCAGGCGCCCCAAAAGACACGTGGTCCCCCCTCGGTCCCCCCGATTACGGCTCTCTCCGCTCCCTTGAGAGTTAGGATTCGGCCGCAATCAGGGGGATTTCCCGTTCGGGGGCGCGGCCGCGCCAACCTCGCCTAGGCAAGGCGGCGCACCCACGCCCCCGATTCTCGAGAGGTCTCTGGGGGGAGTCCAGGGACTAGTTGTCCCCCCCCCAGCGACCTCATCCCGCGTCGTATGGCGACGCGGGTGTAAAATTGGCGGACCCTTCCCGCCCCCCGCCACCACGGGAGAGTAGTCTCCCCAATGGCGAGGAAAGAGAGTGCCCGCCCCCCCCTCCGTGGCGGTCTCCTGCGCCACCGGGGACAAGCCTCCCCCCGATTCCCGTCACCACAGACGAGCGAGCTCGACGATGGCGGGAAGAGGGGAGGCCTATCCCCGCTCCCACTATTTCCTCCATTATCGGGGCGCACCCCCCCCCCCCCGATTCCCGCCACCACAGACGAGCGAGCTCGCCGATGGCGGGAAAAAAGGGGGCTCATCCCCGTTTCTACCGTCTCCGCTTCCACCGAGGGCGCGCCCCCCCCCCTGATTCCCGCCACCACAAACGATCAAGCTCGCCGGTGGCGGGAAAAGAGGGGGTCTGTCCCCTTCCTCCTCGTCTTCTTCCTCTCCCCTTTGTCCGAGGGCTGGGAGTTGCCTCTCCCAGCCCTCTCTCTCTCTCTCTCTCCGCCTTTTCCTTCTGCGACATAACTTTCTCGCAGAAGGAGGAGAACGCCATCCAGACCTCTTTTCTCGCCACCATCTCCTTTACTAGAGATGGCAGCGAGAGATCTCCCCCCCCCCCCGATAGCTGCCTCCAACTCTCTCCTCTCCTCCGATCAGGCCACACACTCCTGGAGTGTGTGGCCGGCCGTGTCCCTCCTTTTGTTGCAATGGTGGCAACGTGTCGTGCGCTCCTTCTTAATACGACACAGATACTCACCGAAGCATCCGTGCCCGGTGAGTACCTGCGTCATTCGGTAAGAAACACTCCCCTTGGCCCTGCCTAGCCATTGTTCCAGGCAGGGCCGGATGGCCCCGACGGTCCACTGCCCCGGCAGCTGCGGGTTTTGCAGCATGCCGGACCAGCTTTCTATCAATTGCCGTCGGGTGTGGGTCCTCAATGTACGCCGGACACCTGTTGTGACGGCCGTTCCTTGCCTCTGTAGCCCGCGTGTACGCTTGTATACTTCGGCGTACATGCGGGCTAATAACTCTATAGGGGGTACTCCTGAGAGTACCCCCACGGCCGCCCAGCTTACCGTACGGAACCGCCGGCATATACGGTTGGTTACCCGCCTTTGCAGCTGATGCAACGCATTTCTGAGTTTGCGGGTGGCCTCTACCTTTTCTGCCCATACGGGGGCTCCGTACATCACCATAGAATGTATGGTTCCGGCGTAAAGTCGGCGAACCCTTTCGTCAGGTCCCCCGAGGTTTGGCAGCAGGCGGCATAGTGCCATCGCTGCCTTGTTTACCCTCGGGGTCAGTTGGCGGAAGTGCTCGCCGAAGGCCCACTTGCCATCCAGGTGGAGACCCAGGTATTTAATTTGGGTCCCCACCTTTATTGGGGTGTTTCCCACCATTATCTGGGCTTTAGAAGGCGCCCCATGAGAGCCGTCATGGAAGAAGACGGCCTCTGTTTTTTGGGGCGCCACCTTCAGTCCAATTCCTCCTATAGTGCGCATGACACGCGCCACCGCAATATTCGCACGCGCCACTGCTTCCCCCCAAGTGTCCCCCCCGGCCATGATTAGCGTGTCATCTGCATAGCAGATGACGTCACAGCCAAAGGGAAGGGCAGTCCTCAGGGTCACGTCGTAGGCAAGGTTCCACATGAGGGGGCCCAAAAATGACTCCTGCGGAACCCCGCACGACACCTCGACCTTGCGCTCTTCGGCGTTCTGGTCTACATAGACCAGACTTCTGTCCCGGAAGTAGTCCGACACGACTGACATCAGGTAGGGGAGTACCCTGTGATATTTCAGGGCATCCCCCACTCGGTGTCAAGGCAGGGTGTTGAAGGCATTTGAAATGTCTAACAAGACTGCCAGCAACACCCCGCCTTCCCTCACGACGGCCTCCGAGACCGAGCGGACACGCAAGATTGCGTCAACGGTTGACCGCCCGGCCCGAAAGCCGTACTGTCTGTCGTCTAGGTTCGGACCATCCCGGGACAGGTGATGGACGAGGCGGGCAGCGATGATTCTTTCCAGAATCTTTCCCGCCTCGTCCAACAGGCATATCGGCCTGTACGCCGAGGGCGAATCTCTAGGTTTTCCTTCCTTAGGGATTAGGACTATGGATGCCCTTTTCCACTCGCGGGGGAAGGAGCCCTCCCTGAGGCACCCGTTGTACAGGCGCCTCATGGGCTCGACCAGTTCCTTGGAGGCGAGGGCCCAGATTTTTCCATGGATGCCGTCAGGTCCAGGGGCTTTCCCCTTTTTGATCCTCTTGACGGCATCCCGGATTTCCCCTCCCGTGACCCCCATCTCTGTTTCGTCCCAGTCCTGCTCCCCGGCCTGTATCGGGCTTTGTGTGCCCGACGCCCGGGGGAACAGGACCTCTATGATATTTTTTACGAGATGGGGGTCCAACGACTCCGTTAGTGGTGCCGTCCCTCCTCTCAATTTATTGAGAACTATTTTATAGGGACGGCCCCACGGGTCGTCGTCTAGGGAGGAGATCAATTCCTCCCAGGCCCTCGCCTTCGCCTGTTGGATTCGCGCGTAGGTCGTCTCTTCTATGTTTATAGGCGTCCCACGCGTCCTCCAATCCTTCTGGGTCCAGTAACGCGTGCTTCTTCCTCCTTTTTATCTCCCTCCTTGCGTGGTCGGTGGACCGCCTTAGCTCGGCGATGTCCTCCGACCACCAGTACGCATGCTTCGGGGACCGGGCTTTGACCTTGGGCATGGCTACGTCGCATGCTTGGGTTACGACGCTTGTTAGCCATGCCCTATGCTCTTCTAAATCCCCGGTCCCCTCTTCCCTTCCTATCATGGCGGCATTAATTGCCGCCATAAACATGTCCGTGTCCAGCTTCCTGAGAGCCCATCTTTTGGAGACCGCCTCTCTTTGTAGGCGACGCTCTGCGACCTCCTTTGTGGTGATGGCGACGGAGATCTCTATGTATCTGTGGTCAGATAGAGTTTCGATCTCCGTCGCCACCCTCCACTTCTTAACCATCCTTGCTGCAGGGCGGGTCATCCATGTGAAATCTACAATTGACCCGCCCTGTCGGCGCACACATGTCTTTTCGCTCCCCAAATTGAGGAGCGTCAGGTCGCATTGCGCCGCCCACTCTTCAACTTCATCACCCCGCCAGTCGGTCTGCGGGGAACCCCATGCCGTTGATTTGGCATTGAAATCCCCCGCGACCATTATCGGTTTGGGGTGATGACAGGCAATCTCCCTCTCTAGGATCCTCAACCTCCCGCCGAATTCGTTGTTTTTTAAGCTCGGCGGGAGGTATACCCCTATAACGATGATGGCCCCCAGGAAGCCGCCACGTATCCCTCGCCCGCCCCTATGAGATCCAGGGGGGGGAGTCGGGCGTATTCCTCCTTACTATTGCGGCGGAGCCGTCGGTACTTTTTACCCAGTTTTTATTGGGTACTTTGTACGGCTCCGCCACAATGCCTAAGCCGCAGGATCTCTCCGCCATAGTATGGACGAAGAGATCCTGGGCGTTCCTCGCATGGTTGAGGTTGGCTTGGAGTATTCTATCGGCCATCCTCAACCATTTTCGTCCTGGTTCCTCCTTCCGACGCTATTTCCATAGCGTCCGCGTTCTCCCCCCCCCCCCAGTTCTTCCTTGAGGCGCTGTCTTTTTCCAACGCTTTGGTTGCTGGAGGGGTTTTCTCTTTCTTCAGCTATTTTTCTTCCTCCCTTAGCTCTGGGGGGCCTTTGTTCTTTGGGTCTCTCCTGGGTGTTTTGCGTGGGAGAGACACTTTTCAAAGGCTCCACCTCCATTCTTGTTGCCCCGGATTCTTTTGGGGCTCCCATCGCTTTAGCTAGTGGGATGCTCCTTCTCCCTTTCTGCACCAGTTTGCAGGCCTTTCCCCCCGTCCTGTGATTGGCGGGGAGGTTCTTATCCCCGCAAACCGCGCAGTGTACCGGGCTTTGCACGTCTTGGCCTCATGGCTTTCCTGACCGCAGCGGTAACATTTACCACTGCGGTCCGCCTTGTTTGGGCATCGCGCTCTGACGTGGCCACCCTCCAGGCATTTATAACACTGGAGGAGGCGGTCTTCAAGGATTTCCACCTTTGCCTGTGCCCACCCAACTTGTATCTTGGCCTTTTTGGCCACTATATTTGCAGCCTTGATTGGGCATCTGACCCAGGCCATCTTGATGCCGTTGGGCGTTGTTTTTATTTCGCCCACGCTTACTTCTTCCTCCTCACAGTTGCCACCTTTTGCGATGGCTTCTCTGACTTCCGAGGGGGTGACCGACTCGTCCAGCCCCCTTATCCTAAGCTCTGCTGTCTTAGTTGGGCGCTGGATTCTCACCCCCTCTTTACCGACAAGGGCTTGTTTCAGCTTCAGAGCTAGTTTATCTGCTAGCTCTCCGCTGTTCTTGCCGGGGACCTTGTATATCAGGGCTCCGGTGATTGCTCTCCGGATCCTGACTCCCTCCTTTATGCCTATTTCTTTTAGGCTTTTCAGGCCGATTTTTTGTCGGGCCTCTGACATCACCTCTTCGTATTTCCCCGGGGGGCAGGTGATGGTTATCGCAGCTGTGTTAGGTTCTCTCCGTTTTTTTGGAGGTCCAGGCCGCTGCTTTCCATTTTGGGCTGTAGCAGGGATGGGAGCCCCAGCCTTTGGTGCTGGGGGTTGTTTGGTCCCTTTTGCCTTCTGTGCCGTCCTTCTCGATACCACCGTTGACCACTGTTGTTGCTGTTGCTGCTGTTGTTGTGGTTGTGGTGGGGCCGATTTTCTCATTGGGGCTTACCTCCCTTCTTTTCTGCTCTCCCTTCCCCCCTGTTGTTTTTGGCATTTGGGGGAGGATTTTTACAGAGACCCTCTCTATTTTCTTTACCCTGGGCAGGGCGGGTCTTGCCGGTGGGTTTAATGTTGTTGCCGGGACTGGTCCTGCCTTTTCTTTTGGGTGTGTAACTCCCTTTGGCTTTTTTGTCGCATTCTTTTGCGCTCTCTCAGCCTCCTTTTTTGGTTATAGCTGGGAATCGGGTTGCCCAGTCTTTGGTCCATGATGCGTTCGCATATGCCCTCCATCATGGCAATTAGTGCGTCCTGTTTTTTGCCTCTCCTCGTTCTTCTCTTGGGAGGGCTGTTTAGTGATCTTAATCACTTTTCCTCTTGCTTGAGGGATCGGGGCTTGTTTCTCCCTCTTTCCTCTTCCTTTCTTTCCCTCTCTAAGTGGGGGAAATCCTTTTCTTGGAAGATCTCCGATCTCCAATTGTCTACCTCCATTTTCTCCGTCTCGGGAACTTTTGGGGGGACCCTATCCTTGGATAGAGGTGTCCTTCCATTGGTTCCTCCCCCCGGGTTTTGGAGGGCTCCCCACTTGTTGACGGAAGTGGAGTCCCCGTGATCGGGTCTATCCCGATCGCTGAGATTCCCCCGTCTTCCGGTGGAGGCGAGTTTTCCCTAACCCATTCCTCTGTCCTTTTTCCTCGTTCTTGGGATAGGGAGAGATCTTGTTTCTCCCAGAGCGGTCTTTGGTGGGCTTCGGTATCAAGGGGCTTCCTCTTCTGCTGTTTGGTTTGTTCAACCATTCTGCGCAGCTGCGCGTTCTCCATCCTCAGGAGATGCATCTGGTGTTTCAGTTCGTTTATCTGTTCCACCACTTGCACCTCCGGCGGGTTTTGTGCTTTCAGCGCCAGGATCATTGCGGCCGCGCACATGTCGGCCGCAGCATCTTTCGCCAGTTTTACTAGCGTTCCTTTTACGTTCCCCGATTGTACGGCCACCTTGTATATGTCCGTACTTTTTTCGGAGATCATTGCTTCCAGGTCTAGTACCGGCGCATTCCTGTACTCTTCCTCTTTTTTCCTTGATTCTCTCAAGGAACTTCTTGTATGATTTGGTTTGCGCCGGTTTGATGAGAGGGTCCAAAATGCCCTTTTCCTTTTGGATTTTCCTCTCTTCTTCCTCCTTGATTTTCTTTTCTTTCAGGATCTCGTATTCTCCTGTGGTGACTGGTCGGCCTCTTCCCCTCTTTTTTTTTTAAGATGGGGATTATGCTCTCTTCGTCTTGGTCTCCGTCCTCTTGTGGTTCCTCCAGATGGTGTGGTTGTGGTATCTCTCCTTGCTTTTCTATCTCTCTATCAATTCTTCGATTGATTTCGCGGAAGGAGGGTAGTTCCGCCCTCTTTGTGTTGACGCTGCTCTGGTCCAGTTCCAGTTCTGGATCAAAACTGCTGTACTCAGAGGGGGATCCTATCTTTCCTGCCCACCTTGATCTTGAGGGGCTCCTCGACCTATCGGCTTCCGATATGGATGATGCTCCAGTCCTTCCCTTCGTTCTTTTTGCGATGAACGAGCCCTCCGAGGATGTTATACTCGTTTGTGAGTCGACCCTTTCTAGCCTTATTGTGAGCTCTCTCGAGATTCCGAGAGAGCTCTGTAATGGCGAGGTCTCTTGCAAGGCCGCGACAATTGTGCCATCGTGACCTGTCCCTTCCTGTGAGAGAGAGCTTTCTCACGTTCGTCTTCTTGGTTTGTATTTGTGTTTGTATTCAGTTTCTCCATTTCAATTATCCCACTCTCCCGCTGCGGCTCCGTCCCCCAGGGTATATCCCCACCGGCCAAGGGGTGCCCCGAAACGTGACCGGCCACACCCCAAGGCCGGGCCCCAAGTTCTCCCGGGGAGGGGACATATGTCTTAGGCCGGGGGATACCGCACCTTGGCCAGACTCCGAGCCCCTTACACACCCGTATGGGATTTGACGCCCACACGGGCTTTCAGGGGTCCCACACTTCCGACAATGTGGGTATGCAGCGGGCGGCGCCACCCGGGGGCTCCACGGACGCTTTGGACAGGGTCGCCGCTCCCCGGCCCTGCCCTACACGCCGTGGCGACCAGCATATGTGGGCGCCCCTCTCTGAAGACTTTTAGAGAGGGGCAGGCGCCTCTCCGGTCGGCCGGTTCGGAAGAGGAAACGGTCCCGACCGACCGGGGATATCTACTCTCGCCCCAGGCCCCGTCTCGGAAATGTCCGAGCGGCCCTGGGGCAGGGCGGCCGCGGCACCCTCCGGGCTATGCCCCTTGGGTAACCCCTCCGGGCTATGCCCCTTGGGTAACCGCAGCGCGCCTTCGCCGCCATCCTCGGCCCGGATCCGGAAACGTCCGAGCGGCCCGAGGATGGCAGGCCACAGGGACACTGGGACGAGAGCAAGCTCTCCCTCAACCAGCACCCTGCGACCTCCCTCTCGCCGTCGAGCCCTGCCTCGGAATATGTCCGAGCGGCCTCGACGGCCGATCCGCGTGGTCCCCTTCGGGCAGTGCCCCTTGAATAAACCCTCCGGGCCATGCCCCTCGGGTGACCACGCGTAGCCGTCTGCGCCGACCCAGCCCTGCCTCGGAATACGTCCGAGCGGCCTGGGTGCGGCCTACCCCAGGGACGCTGGGACGGGGACCCAGGCTACCCCCCTGAAGACCCCCAACCAGCACCCTGAGGCACCTTCCTGTCCTCGGGAACCGTTCCACGAACGGGCCCCGAGGACCGATCAGCATGGCCCCCTCCAGGCAAAGCCCCTTGGGACAACCCTCCGGGCAAAGCCCCTCGGGTGACCATGCTGACCCCTCCGCCGCGCGACCCCCCCCCGGGCAAAGCCCCTCGGAAAACCCTCCGGCAGAGCCCCTCGGGTAGTCGCGCGCGGCACCTCCGATGCGGCCCCCGCCGATCCTACCCCCCTAGTATAGGTATAACCCCAAAGGAGGCCCCCCCATGACGGAGGGAGAGGGAAAAACCCCGGGCGGCGGAAGCCGCCTACCTGACAGGCGTGTCAGGCCACAGAGCATGGTGGGAAGGGAAGCGCCGAAGCGCCGTGCAGTCCCTTCTCCTAACGGTGCCTTGCCACCGGCGTTTGAATTCCGGGTCGCCATCCCTTACCACATACGAGCCGAAGCTCTAATGGGGAAGTGGGCCCCGTCTCCCCGGGATGCGGAATTCTTCCACACCCCGAGGAGAGCCCCCCGAGACGGAGGGCGTGCCCCCGAGAACCGGGTGGAGTGTACCTCGGGAGGTACAGACGCGCTCTGGCACCCCTCGCAAGGCTATTTCCCTTGCGAAGGGTGAGCCCCCCCATCACGACAAGGTGGCGGTCCACGGGGGGAGCAAAGAATCAACCTGCTCGCTTGCACCTAGATAAAAGCGTGTGAATAAAAATTAGCCAATGAAAGAACTTCTCTACATCTTTCCCCGAAGATGTAGAAAAGTGCAGGAGACCACCGCGAACGGAGAGCGAGGCGATGAAGTCAGTCGCTAACAAAAATCCAAAAAGTTAAGTCGCTAATTAGAACCTAACTAGGAGTCGAAGACAAGCCAGAATATAAACTATCACCTGTAATCTGACTATCGAGAGCGAGCATACTTAACTAACCACCCAGGTGGGATTATACAGAATTAAACCAACTCAAGAAATAAGGGAAATAAAAAGATTATTTAGATAAACAAG